CAACAAATAAATGCAATTTTGTTTCTCCCAAAGAAATGCCTTGGTTTCTTGTCCTTCCCCCCTCACAACAAAAAAATCAGTCCATGGGAAGAGGGTGTGAGACGGAGTGCGGCAGCAGAAACATGCAGATGTTAGGAAATCAGCGGGTGGAAAAGGCAGTTTTGTTTCCCTGCACCAAAACCTTTATCAGCAACAGCAGCAAGCTTCAGCCGAGAGATCATGTAGCCCCCAAAGGCTTTTCCCGATTAACAACATTAATAGCACAGTCAGGGAGTGGAAGTCCTTCCGCACAACATGTTGTGTGTGGGTTTGGTTTGCCCTTTTTTTTTTTAAATAGGCTCAAAGATGATGCACATAAAATCCCAAACGGGAGCAGAAATGAAGGATCAGATGTTTTCTTCTTTGGTTTTGTTGCCTGTAAATAGAAAAATATTTTTAAAAAAATTACCCTGAGTTACAAGATGCAAGGAGAAAATTTGTGATTTCTGCTGTAGTACTGCAAATTCCTCTTTAAACTGCAGCATATTACTACATATGTGCATCACCCAGGTAAGCAAGATAAAATGCATGCATCATAGCAAGTACCCCCACCCCCAAAAAAATCTCATTGGGAGAGCTCAGTCCCCAGAGAAAAAGGGGTGGGAGTGAAAGGAAACTAGCCTGCACAAAAATCACTTCTCTAAATGAGCAAAACAGGGAGAAAGAGAGGTACTGGAGAAGCAGCAACATGATACACTGAAAAATTAGACTCAAATCCCTAAATTACACGAACTGCAGGAGCTCAAAAATGAATCCACAAACCATTTTGTAAACAAGATTAATCCCCTTTGGCATAGCTAAAACAGCAGCCTGTGATTCAACAGACGTGGCAGCTTTATTATACATTATTGCTATGATTACCACTGTTTGGTTCTCCCCCCCCAGTCCAGAAATATAGGTATCTCCTCTAGACATCAAAGCAGATTTGGAGCCAGGGGAAATGCAGCCCAGCATGTGCAAGGCAGATGCAAATCTCCCAGCAGGGGGAAGTCAGGGCACAATTGGGGGGGGGGGGGGGGGGGGTTAGAAGTTATTCTGGGTAACAAATGTAAAAAATCAGGGAAATGTGCATTTTTTAAAAAGCCAACCAACAATTGGATCCACATCCAACATCCAGAGGAACAACGTGGCTAGCAGAGACAGGAAACGGGAAAGGGTTACAGACTAGGGTTAGAGCATTTAAATGGAAACAAACAAACAAACAGAAAGAGTGTAGCTGGCTGCCCCCTTAGTTACGGAGGGAGTGGAAGATATTCCAAGCTGCTCTATGCCATTACTATCCACCCAGCTGGAAAGAGACTGCGCAAATACACATATTTAAAGCACTCCCAAAAATACACGGAGAAGCCACCGGAGCTCCCCCCAATGCTGACTGCAAAACCCTCTAGCACCTCGGGATCCTGGCTGCTGTAAATTCCATCGTATAAAGGAGAGGGCCACTTGGCCCCCAAACCCCATTTGCTTTTCATTTCTGGAATGACGGGCCCAGCCCTGTATTCCCTTTCCTGCTGCTGATCGTAGCAGGGAGAAGAGATGGGGGTAGTGGGAAGAGTATTATGGGTTTGAAAGAGAATATTAAAGTCTGAGGAAAAGGGGAGATGAGCTCTGGGAATGAAGTGGGGGAGAAGATGAGCTCCTAGAATGGGGAAGATGGGGGAAAATCAATCCTGGAGTGTGGGGTGAGGAAGGTTTGGGAGCTATACGGGGGGGGGGATGTAGGGGGGGGAATAATTGCTCCTTGAGGATTACGGACTGAAGGGGGAATTTTATGGGCTGGAAACTCTATCCTAAGAGAAGGGCTGTGCCGCGAGGGGGGGGTTACACAATTAGGGAGGACTATGCCGGGGGTTACAATTGCAGGGAAACGGGGCTATGCCGCAGGAGAGTTACAATGGTGGGGGGGCAAAGGGGCTATATCGCGGGGGGGGGGGTTGCAACTGGGGAGCGGCTGTGCCGGGGGTTACAGTTGGAGGGAAAGGGAAGCTATGCCTGGGGGGGGAAGGGTTTACAATTAGCGGAGAAGGGGGCTACGCCGCGGGGGGGGGTTACAATTAGCGAAGCAGGGGGCGATGCCGCGGGGGGGTTACGGTTGGAGGGGAGAAGGGGGCCTATGCCGAGGGGGTGCAATTAGCAGAGAAAGGGGCTATGCCGGGGGGCGGTTACAGTTGGAGGGGAGGGGGATATGCCGGGGGGTTACAATTAGCGAAGCAGGGGGGCGATGCCGCGGGGGGTTACAGCTGGAGGGGAGAAGGGGGGCTACGCCGCGGGGCGGGGTTACAATTCGCGAAGAAGTGGGGCCAGGCCGCGGGGGGGGGGGCCGGGGTTGCAGTTAGCGGGGAGAAGGGGGGCCACGCCGGGGGGGGGGCCGGGGTTGCAGTTAGCGGGGAGAAGGGGGGCCACGCCGGGGGGGGCCCGGGGTTGCAGTTAGCGGGGAGAAGGGGGCCACGCCGGGGGGGGGGCCCGGGGTTGCAGTTAGCGGGGAGAAGGGGGGCCACGCCGGGGGGGGGCCCGGGGTTGCAGTTAGCGGGGAGAAGGGGGGCCACGCCGGGGGGGGGGGCCCGGGGTTGCAGTTAGCGGGGAGAAGGGGGCCACGCCGCGGGGGGCCGGGGTTGCAGTTAGCGGGGAGAAGGGGGCCACGCCGCGGGGGGGCCGGGGTTGCAGTTAGCGGGGAGAAGGGGGGCCACGCCGCGGGGGGGGCCGGGGTTGCAGTTAGCGGGGAGAAGGGGGCCACGCCGCGGGGGGGGGGCCGGGGTTGCAGTTAGCGGGGAGAAGGGGGGCCACGCCGCGGGGGGGGGGCCGGGGTTGCAGTTAGCGGGGAGAAGGGGGGCCACGCCGCGGGGGGGGCCGGGGTTGCAGTTAGCGGGGAGAAGGGGGGCCACGCCGCGGGGGGGGGCCGGGGTTGCAGTTAGCGGGGAGAAGGGGGGCCACGCCGCGGGGGGGGGCCGGGGTTGCAGTTAGCGGGGAGAAGGGGGGCCACGCCGCGGGGGGGGGCCGGGGTTGCAGTTAGCGGGGAGAAGGGGGGCCACGCCGCGGGGGGGGGCCGGGGTTGCAGTTAGCGGGGAGAAGGGGGGCCACGCCGCGGGGGGGCCGGGGTTGCAGTTAGCGGGGAGAAGGGGGGCCACGCCGCGGGGGGGGGGCCGGGGTTGCAGTTAGCGGGGAGAAGGGGGGCCACGCCGCGGGGGGGCCGGGGTTGCAGTTAGCGGGGAGAAGGGGGCCACGCCGCGGGGGGGGGCCGGGGTTGCAGTTAGCGGGGAGAAGGGGGGCCACGCCGCGGGGGGGGGCCGGGGTTGCAGTTAGCGGGGAGAAGGGGGCCACGCCGCGGGGGGGCCGGGGTTGCAGTTAGCGGGGAGAAGGGGGGCCACGCCGCGGGGGGGCCGGGGTTGCAGTTAGCGGGGAGAAGGGGGGCCACGCCGCGGGGGGGGGGGCCGGGGTTGCAGTTAGCGGGGAGAAGGGGGCCACGCCGGGGGGGGGCGGGGTTGCAGTTAGCGGGGAGAAGGGGGGCCACGCCGGGGGGGGGCCGGGGTTGCAGTTAGCGGGGAGAAGGGGGGCCACGCCGGGGGGGGGGCCGGGGTTGCAGTTAGCGGAGAAGGGGGGCCACGCCGGGGGGGGCGGGGTTGCAGTTAGCGGGGAGAAGGGGGGCCACGCCGCGGGGGGGGGCCGGGGTTGCAGTTAGCGAAGAAGGGGGGCTACGCCTTGGGGGGGCGGGGTTGCAGTTAGCGAAGAAGGGGGGCTACGCCGGGGGGGGCCGGGGTTGCAGTTAGCGAAGAAGGGGGGCCACGCCGGGGGGGGGCGGGGTTGCAGTTAGCGGGGAGAAGGGGGGCTACGCCGGGGGGGGCGGGGTTGCAGTTAGCGAAGAAGGGGGGCTATGGTGCTCTGCCTGCGAGAAGGGGCGGCGGGGGTGCTCTAGACGAGCCAGGAGAACGACCGGCTAGGGGGAGCAATGGGCTTGCGGCGGCATCCGCTGCCGGCCACCGCGGGCTGGGGACTATGCGGGTCTCCGGGGGGCTGGAGTATTATGGGCTGGGGCGCGCCCATGGTCGGGCGGAGGTCTGCGCGACACACGCCTCGGCCCCGGGCGGAGCTCGTACCTGCAGCGCGGCGCAGCCAGGTCCCCTCCTCCATGAGCCGAGGCGCTCCAGCTACGGCTCCCGCGGTCAGTTTCCTCCGCAGCGCGAGCTCGCCCACCCCGCCCCTTCGTCTGCCTCCCCCAATCAGCAGCTGGGAAGATTCAGAGTGACACTCCTCCTAACCAATAGCAGCGTTCTACTGCTTTCTCTGCCCCGCCTCTGGCTCACGGCTCCTCCAGTTAGGAGCGAAAGGGGCGGGGCCCTCGCGGCTCTGAGAGGCGGATCCCTCCAATCGGGCTCGAGGGGAGCGTTGGCTCTCTTCCAATGGGAAGCGAGGACAGGGATTCAAACGGAGTGTGACAGTTCTGAAGACAGGGGCTCGCTGGGGCCAGCCCGTTGGGGTCTAACGGCAGCAGGGCTGACGTAGGTGGCTCAGCCGGCCCGGGGCAAAGAGAAACGGGTCGGCCTCTGGGAGGGGCAGTAAGCAGGAGCTGTGGGGGTGGGGTAGCAGGGTGAGAGGGGGAGCCCAGGGCCCCCGCTGGTGGGGGGAAAGGAGGAGGGGGGAGGAAGACAAGGCCCCCAGTAGAGGGGGGGGGAGAAGGAAGGAGAAGGAAGGGGAGAGCATAAGGCCCCCACTGGTAGGCAGGAGGGGGAGTACAGGGCCTGCAAGGGGGCGGGGGGTGTTGGAGCCTGGAGGGGGCAGCAGGGTGGGAAAGGGGAGTCCATCTCCAGGGCAAGGGAGGGGTGCAGGTATAGGGCTGTACCCTGAGGGAGGGGGCAGTGGGTGTGGGAAGAGCAGCTGAGGGGGCACAGTCCCTGGGGCAAGGAGCCTGAGAGGGGGAGCTGAAGAAGGGGGCAGGGGGGCGCTAGGTGCAGCTAAGGGGGTCTGATGGTCAGTCTGCCCTCAGAGAAGCAAGGAGTACCCTCACCGTTCTCTGGGAAGAGGGGACGGACCCTTTGGGGCCAGAGCCATCATGTCCACGAGTGGCTGCACCTTCAAGGACAGGTGTGTGTCCCTGCTGTGCTGCAGATTCTGCCAGCAGGTGCTGAGCTCACGGGGGGATGAAAGCTGTGCTGCTGGCCAACACAGAGATTGACCTCTACTCCACCGACATCCCACCCACCAGGTAAGTCCTCTTCCTTTGCCACCTGCAGGCATCTCAACAGTAGCCCCCAAAGACCTTAATCAGTAGGAATCCCCCATTGTGTTAGATACCAGGCAAATCAATAAGAAGGCCCAGTTCCTACTCCCCAGATCTCAATCTACTCCTTATAATTGTGTAGGGCAGGTAGGCAAGCAAGTATTAGTATTTCCATTTTACTGCAACAGGAACTGAGGAACAGTCCAAACACAGAATGGTATAGTACTTTAAAAAATACATATATACAAGCTGTAAATAATAAACAAGACTCATTTTTTCTCAGCTTTAAAATGTGCAGTTTTCTTGGTGTTTGGCTCTAAATATGTTCCTGTGACAATCACTGTAGGGTTGTATTTAACAGCCTTCTGGAAAGTAACTAGCCTTTAAACAGAAGTGAAAGTGACTTGGAAGTGTCAGTTTCACTCCTGTTTCAAGTCAGTATCTAGTTTATTTTTGTTTGTAGTAGGGTAACCCTCCAGGCAGGTGCAGTATAAACTCTGGGGGCCTTGCCCCAGACTCGTGGGATGTTTCCAACACATAAATGACCTATTCCAAGCTTGGTGAACCGCAAATAAGTAAGTAGTGTAAATGATAGAAAAATCTGGATTACTTTCTACAATTGTTGTTCAAGAGTTAGTAACAAAGTAAGAATATACAGTAAAATTATTTTAAACCTAACCCATGTCCCTTAAGTGATTTGCCACAAGATGTCAGAAAGTGTTAGTATTAGATGGAGAAATGCATCTCAGCCCTGATCCTATTCTGCTACTCTACCCTTAAGGCCACACACTCTCCCCCCTAGTAACTGTGATCAGTGGTTCTGAACCAGGGGGTATGTCAACTCATCTAGATATTTGCCTGGTTTTACAGCAGGCAACATAAAAAGCACTAGCAAGGTCAGTACAAACTAAAATTTCGTATGGACAATGACTTGTTTATATTGCTCTATATACTATACACTGAAATGTAAGTACAATATTTATATTCCAATTGATTTCATAATTCTATGGTAAAAATGAAAAAGTAAGCAATTTTTCAGTAATAGTGTGCTTTGTCACTTTTGTATTTTTATGTCTGATTCTGTGAGCAACTAGTTTTTAAGTGAGGTGAAACTTGGTGGTACACAAGACAAATCAGACTCCTAAAAGGGGTACAGTAGTCAGGAAAGGTTTAGAGCCACTGATTTAGATGATGGATAATAAGATTGTTCATTGGCATATCTTGAACGTACATCCAGCCTGACAAAAATAAATGTGGGTTTTTCAGTGTAAAAACATCACTACGATCAAATACAGCTACTTCCTCTGTTTCAGTCAAATTTGTTTATTTTATGGATACAAACATGTTTTTGCTCTTAATGGTGCAGGAACCAATATCAATCAAGGAAAGCAAGCTGTATTCTGTTTGGCCTCATAGATCAACAGAATTGTTGAGTGCATTAACTGGTGAAGATGAAAGAAGCAAAAAGAACCCAATTTGGCTTTCATGGTTAAGCAAGGACAAGAATTAAAGAAGAAGAAGAAAAAAAATCTTTCTTGTTAATTGATCAAATGTAAGCTGGAGTCAGAGGATGAGTAACTATGGGAAAGCAATATTTACATATTAAATAGTAAATTAAATATTCAGAATGTAAATTACAAAGTGTTAATCTGTAAGCATGAGTTAAAAGGAGATAAACTAAGATGGGCTAAAATTTAATTAAAAAAAACAACAAAGGTTCATTTTTTTAAACACATTCTAATCACTAAGCCATTGTTCTGTGGTCTCATTTGAGATTTACAATAGACACCTCGTTCCTGGCACAGATGTTCTAAACTGGTGTCAAATGTCTTTCATACAATGCTAGTTATCAAATGTGAGTTAAAGCGATCTGTGTGGTTACATATGTAATCCACAGTTTTAGTGTACAATAAAAACATATTATCTACAAAAATGGGTTTATGAAAGTCAGTAAACCACGTTTCAGTATGAAGTTAAAATAGCGATCTGTGTTTTAGTGACTCAGGAAATGATTTCTTGGTATGTGATTTCCTGATACTATAATAATTGATTTTATGGCAAATGATGGTTGGTCGGGGCTGAGTGGTTAGAGTTGGAGCTAATGTATTGAGGATCTAAATTATAAGAATAAATCAAAATAGGAAACATGCAGATTCTTAAGTAAACTTATATCTCTGCATACAGGGCAGAAGGTCAACTCTCAGGACTGTTTTTTTCCACCCATTAACAGAATGAATGGAAGCACTCATGTTGGACATGGAGCACTCAACCCGGTACATACCAAGTTATGTAAACAAATTGCCCCTTTTCTCACAAAGTCTGTACCTATATTACCATTGATGCCGTTCTAACAGTGGAAATACTAGTGTAAACCAGCTGTTGGCATTCTACCTACCATCTCATCTAACATAGCTTAAAGCAGGGTCTGCACAACACTACAGTAGAAATGCCAGTGGCTGCCTACACTAGTGCTCCAACTGGTGGGAAAACTAGGAAGGATCGCCAAGTCAAAGAGAGTTGTAAAATAGGAAAGATCAGTTTGCTTTGAAAATATTATTTTGCTCCCATTTACAAAAACAGAACCAATTAAAAATGACACGAGTTGACAAAGCTTATCTACCTAAGATCTACCATAGAAACCCTATTACAGAAGAGTATTTGACAATATTAGTTTGCTCTTAACAGCTTTTCTACAGAGGAGCTCAAAAGACATTAAAAACAGACAGCCTCACAGAAGATGGGTTGAGGCAACACCTGATTTAGGTAATACTATCCTACTTTCCAGAAGAAGAAACTGACACACAGATGTTAAGTCTGACAATGGCCTTGTCTGTACTAGGAAATTGACCCAATGCTAAAGCTGGCTATGTCCATAGTAAGGAACTATAGAAGAAGTTATCCACCAGAGCTACCACAATTGTAGCTGGGAGTCCTGATGTAGACAAAGTGCTACCAGCCTCTACCATCACCAGCTTTGAAGGTATGTCTACACAGCAAAAGCTAGCATGGGCTAGTCTGTCCAAGCTAACTTGAATCCAGCTAGCATGGGTAATAATAGAAGTGCAGCCAGCACAGCACAGGCTTCACAGTGTGCTACCGAGCTAAGTATGCACTACAAAAGACACACTGAAAGTGTACCTCAAGAAAACTGATGTGGACATCACAAACTGGGAGAAGCAAGCCACCAACCGACCCCCGTAGCACCACATCCTCCATCAAGCAATAGGTCGCTTTGAGGAGAAGTGCCTTGCTCTCAAACCTGAAAAAGGAAAGAAGGAAGGAAAAAAGAAAGAACTTTCTCCCAGCAGGCAGTTGGCCTGCCAGGAAATGTCTGTACCTATTGCGGCAGATCTGTGATTCCAGGATTGGACTCCTGAGTCATCTCAGGACCCATATGTAAATCCGTAGTAGAGATCATCCTTGAATCAAGGGGTCGCCGATGATGATGTTCATGATGCATCCCAGACTTGCACTACCCACACAGAAGCCTGACTGTGGTGTCTTCGCTATTATTGTTTCCTGGGTTAGCTGGATTCAAGATACCCGTGCACAGCATTTTCTTTGTTACTCAGCTTAAGTGAGAGTGGTAAAAATGCTGGACACTTGTTGCAACCCAACCACTACTGAAAGCCCTACTGTAAAGAACACTGGTTCCCTACAGACAAAGATGTAGGGTGTCTGCAACGAGCATAGTGAAAGGGTACTGAAAATGGTTTAACTGCAAGTGCACAAACAGAACTAAATCAAATCACCTACCATTTCTGAAACTGTGTTGAACATAGTTTGAACCTGTTCACCCTTGCAGTTAAACTACGTCTTGCTCCAGGTCAGCAGTACGTATTGCCTATGACACCCATTGTAAATAGGCAAGTTTCTTAATGTAGATATAGATAGTGAGTTGCTAACTGAACCCAATGGTAACGGAGTTCAATCCCTGTATAAAAAGACTAATTATCACCTCTAAGTACTAGTGAGAGGCCCAGTTCCCTTGTGGTCTAGTTAAAATGTTTAGCTCTGGACTGACTGACTGCTTGGAACTGGGACAACAACAAAGCAGCTCTTGAGCCTTGCTGATGTTTACCTCTGTGGGCCAGTTCATTGAGTTGCATAAAACCAAACCACACTCATAGTCTGAAACAATTCAGAAGAAGTTAGCCATCATCCTCAGGTAAAGTAGGAAAAATTAAATATATAGAGCAAAGCCATTAAAGGGACTTTGTCAGCTAGCTTGTAACTTTATTTTCTGCCAGTGTGTAATATTTTTAGATGCTTAAAGAGGTAAATAAGCCTACTCTAAAATTAAGTTTCAATTACTGTCATGGATTTTTAAAACAGAATCTGATGGGCACTTCCCACCAGATCACACTAATTTCAGGTGGTCAGATTTGGTCTAAAGCACTCAATTATGCTTCATTTTTAATTACTCTCCTAAGAGGAATCTACCTGACCGCAGATTCTGCTGGGATTATAGTGTGCACATATAGGGGAGTTGCAGATCCCATCAACCACTTATGAACCTCAGCTGCTAAAAGTTTCACGGGTGATCCTTTAAGTCTCTGTATAGTAGTAAATGCCCATACTATAGGCCTGAGGAGAAACCCTCACTGGCCATCAAAAAGATTGTAGAATTAAAAAGGATATTGCTACATGTATAACCTGGTGAAGTGGAGTGTGCCTCAGGACAGTGCCTGGATTGGTCTTACAGTGGACAAACTTCAAGTATGGAGAAAAAGCACTTAGTGGAATAAGATCTTCAAAAAAAATTAGCACTATTTTGTTTTATAGCACCGATGACTAACTCAGTGCAACAGAGTATAGCTAACAGAGTATAGAATTGCTTGGGATAGTGTCATCTTGAGATTCTTGTGAGCAATGCCTTTTGGTCATTGACTTGATAAAAATGACCATCACATTGGGTGCTTTTATTCCTTTCTATGTAGCAACCAGTTCCAGGAAGTAATCCAGTTTTGGTTTATTGGTGTGATAACTGGAGATATGCAATTAAGTGACTACGCAGGAGTGTAATGTTCAGCATCGTTCGTATTATTCCTCACGTGGTTTGTGATGAGTTTAACTTTGATGCTCTTCAAGGTTGTGTTGAAAGTATCTTTATTCTACCCCCCTCTGCCTCTTTTGCTATTTAATGGTGCCCTCAAATACCTGCTTTACACTAATGGTCCGCTATTCTTCCTCTTACTCCGTGAAGTGAAGAGAGTCAGCTATGTGAATATTTGAAGTACATTCACTTAGCATTGGGATTCAGCTGAAATCTGTGTTGAGCAGGTGACCCTAGACCATTGAGTATTATGGTACGCTACTGGACAACTAGAGGTGAGCTGTTGAGGAAGCATTGTAAGAGGCAGGGAGCACTATCTCTCAGCTCACAAATTTGACATCTGCCTGCTTTCCTGGCCTTAGTGTAAGAATAGGGATTGTATAATCAAAAGCTGAGACTTTTTTTAATTGCTGCTGGGACTGACCTGCGGTTCCTTCAATAGCATTTTGTACTCTTAAGCTGGAATTTAGGTATGCAGTCCTAAGTTCGACAACCAGCATCCTTGGCCAGCAAAAGTATTATGTAGCGGATATCCCTCTCAGTCCTTGAGCTGTATGAGGGAAGGGTGGTCCCAACACAATCATCTTTAGAACCCAAGCAACCAAATATACTAAAGCAGTGCTCCTGGTGGAGGGTAGCAGGTTCCTGAAAGCTAGCATGTGTGCACTGTGATGCTGGCTGAGGGTTTGCTGGTGGAATATATAGGAATCTTTTCTATCTTGATACTAGTTTGCTTGGTGATTGTGAATGGAAATAGAAAAGTAAGAACTTCAAACACCTAACACTGGTTTGTTGGAATTCTAGCTTACCGCAAGAGCAAGTGGCTGGGTGAAGTTATGTTAAATGTCTAAACTATTCCTGTGACTAATTTTTTCCCCTCCAGTACGGTTGACTTCATTGGAAGCTGCTATTTCACTGACATCTGCAAATGCAAACTGAAGAACGTTGCATGTTTAAAATGGTAAGTAATATCATTTCAATGTGACTCGTAATCATACAAGCACCTGCTCCACAATGCATGTGCTGCAGCAACAACATTGCAACCTCTCATTACTGGCCACTAAAGTTGTCACAAATGAAATGAATTTGATATAACATTGCTCAGTGGAAACTTGGCCCCGCTACCTTTGGACATGACTGTTAGTCTGTCATTGTAGAAGTCCCTAGCAGAAATGCATGGAAGAATGTGTATCAAGACTAAGGTAGGGTTCTATAGCAAACTTGCATAACACTGACTGACTCCAGAGAGACTGCTTCAGTATTGATTTGAGATAGCTGTGTGAATAAAGTCACAAAGAAATGCAGTTACTCATATCTTCCACTTTACTAAAACAGATACAGTAGAGAATTCCTATTTTATGAACTAATTGGGGATTCAGGAGTTCATAAAATTGAACATCTCAGTTACAGTAGGTTTGTATAAGAGGCTCATAAAACTGAGGTTCTGCTGTAACAGAACATGCTGTTGGCAGACCTACTCTTCACTAGCGGATGGAAAAAATTAACATGAAAGTTCCTGGAGCTTGTTGTTTGTTTTTATTAATGCCCGATACTTAAAATACTGTTCCTTTTTTTTGAAAAAAAAAAAGCTAAACTGCTCAAAAGGATCACTTGTCTACTTTATGCCTAAAATTTCAGTTTGCTCAGATCTGAGCTTGGATGGGAAAGTTCTTGGACTAAAAATAACAAGGTGGGTTTTTTTTGAGACTTGGCTAGCAAGGAATTCTGGTTTGTCTAGATGCTGAAATAGAAAGCACACACTTTCTTCTGGGTGTGCTACTGGGAGTGAAAGGAATCTACTATAGGTAAATTAATTAGGCTATAATCTGTTCCTACTCAAACCCTTAATTTCCATTTATTTCAGTGGAGCAGAATCAGGCTCATATATACGCCAACCTAATTACTTAGCTTTTATCAGGTCCTATTGTACCATCAGTTTTAAGGAGAACTCTCCATTGATTTCACAGGGGAGTTCTATTTTAAAAATGAACAATCAGATTCCATGATAGATACAACAAATTTCACTGACTTAAGATAAAAGTACACTCAGGTAACAGACAGAATTTGGTTCTCTGCAATAAGACAAGACTCCCTGTATAAGAAACATAAATCTTGTGCAACTCCACACACACACTCTTTCTCTAAGTAAATATATTCAGACACTTTTTGTACCATTGTTTAAAAACTCACCATTAATTTTCCCCAGATAAGAACATTATATACCAATTTGCCTAAAAGTGGTTAGATCCTATTTAACATTAAGCTGAGTTGGTTCTTCCTTGCAAACTGGCTTTCATCCACGAACTTACATGATCATTATTTTGTTTGTTTGCTGTTCTAGTGGCAATGTTGTAGGTTACCATGTGATTGCTCCATGCAAACCTTGCCTGCTGTCCTGTAACAATGGACATTTCTGGATGTTTCACAGCCAAGCAGTCTTTGGTATGAACAGACTAGACTCATCGGGTAAGGAACTCTTTATTCTGAACAGGGAAGTTCTATTTAACTCACAGGAGAGTTAACTGGCAACTTCCCCCCACCCCAATAGCAAGGTGTCTCAAAGCATATGCAGTTTACTTAAGGTATATAGCAAGTCTATACTGAGTTGCCTTTCCAGCAGAGAGGCTTGTGAGAAAGGAATGCTCTATGAGGAAACTGTTCATGTCACCTGGAGCTTAAAGTATCTAACATGCTATATTAGGCTACCTCAACTTTGTGTGGCTTTATTAAAAAAAAAAAAAGTCACTGGGCTGTAAGATTAATTGGTCAGAAAATTTACTCTAACCTCTTGCTGATGGGAATCAGGATTTTCTGAGGCAATATTGTTATGCAAACTGCACAAATACAAGTGGTGTAAACGCAGAGCCACAGGATACTATTTATAGTCGTGTGTGTCCCTTCACTGTGCTATTAAGCAACCTCCACTGACTGGTCATTCTGAGCTGAGCTGTGTTGTCACTGACCCTGGATAACTTTCTCTGTTGATCCCCATTACCTTAGGCTGAGGTTACAACCAATACTAGCTCTTACTGTTCAGTTTGCTTGAGTTCCTTTTAAACAACTACTTGGCACACAAACTAGAAGTATCTAGCAATATCAGTCCTTCTGGGTCCTTCCCAAAGTATGTGGCCTTTTACTAGATCATCTATGTTTCTGTTTCTCATACACAAGATTAGTTAAACACTTTTACAGTGTCATCTGTGCCTCAAACCAACACAATTAATGTAACCCAGCCATAAGGGGATTTACCAATAGCTACATGATTATTTCATATTACTCTTCATATAGGACTTGCTACTATCGTGCAGTTCAAAAGGATATTTCTAGAGATCCTTTTTGAATAAAAATAGAAAATAACCTACAGCTGGGCAATGTTGTCTTAGTTCATCTAATAGGTTTTGCAAGAGCCATTCATTTTGTGGCAATGAATTCAGTTCTTAGTCTAACTCAAACGGGGTCAGAATACAAATTAAGTTATTTACAATCCTTCTTCCAGGTGTGAATTTACTGCTTTGGGGCAACTTACCAGATTTGGAGGAAAGCACTGATGAAGACATGTCTGGCATCTCTGAGGAGGAGTATATCAGATAAATATTATCAGCAGTGTGCATCACAGTGTATTCCCTCATTACCTTGTATTGCAGCTTTCTTCCTACTGTCTTAATGTACAAACTCAAGCAATACAGTAAACAGGAAGGCTAGCAAACCGTTTTCCAAAAAGGGTAGAAGCTGTCTTAGTCCAATGTAACATACCTTATAAGAATCCCTCTCAGCTTTAAAATGCGCCTATCTGAAAAATGAATGGCATACAGTATGATGGCCACTGCCTCTGGTTTTAGGCCTATTTTGTTCTTATAGTTCTAAGTCTTAACAGCTGCAGGTAAGGAAAACACAGGCTTTGACACTTCAAGTGCCAGCTGCTGCCTGTTTTTCCTTCCTAAATAACAGCTCGGTTGTGGATCAAAAGTCTTGGCATCACTGAAAGGAATTTAATTTTTACCTCGAGTGTAGTGCTATTGAGGAATAGTTACTCTGGGTGAGCTGTGACATTATGAAGAGAATTCTATGGGCTTCAGTTAAGCCTCCTGGACTCTGCCTTTTCTCTCTTCCCATTCCACCCATAGCCAGGAAGGCAGTATGTGCACAGTCTCCTTTGAGGCCACAATCAATGCTGTTGAAAGAGTGGACCAGCAGGGATTGCTGAAACTGTACAGCTGTCTGTCTTCATCCTGCTTTGGAGTTGTTTGCTTGTGAAACCACTAGGGAGATGAGCGCTGGAATGCTCCTGAACCTGGGTTTCTCGCCCGAGTTTTTTCACAGCGTAATAAGTACTCGGTTCTGCTAAACGAAACTGCATAAGAAATTTATAGAGTGACTTTTGCTGCCAGCAAACAGAATGGCTGACAAATGGTAAATAATGAAGTATGCAGGGAACTGGCACACTTCCCTGCTTTAAATGGAAATGGATCACATTCAATGAAATATTAGCATAACTATTTTTAATTAATGTTACACAAGTTAGGGAAACTCCTCTTTCTCTGTAGAAGTCTCCCTATTGTGGTGAAAAACTGAAAGAGGGAGAAAAGGCATAGTTTCCAAGCAAAATAATCTGTAATTATGTTTGTATATTTCGTCAGTATTAAATGAGATGAGCAGTAAGTATGATGCTGGAGTAGCGTGTGACAAGTTTAGGGTCAGATTCAATAAAATCTCTGTCTGGCTTCTGTGCTGCTGGAAGGTGGGTAATCCCCGCAGAGTCGGTAGTAGAAGGTGGCATGGTGCCTTTTGGAAAGGAGGCAGCCAGACATAGTGTGGAGTGAAATCTGGCTTCAAGAGTACTGTTCTGCTTGCAGCTACAAAGTAACTGCTTCAGCAAGTTTACATTCTCAAATGAAAAGTTTTCTTGTTTCTAAGGATAGGAGGGTCTAAGAGAATAACTTCGTAAAGAAAAAACATCTGAACAACAACTTTTAAAAAGGTAAACATTTACTTCAGAACACAAATATTCTATTTAATGGGAAGATTTCTGAAGTGACTTATTTTACATTTATGTAAACAGGGCTCTAGCTAGATAGTGCTTTATATGCCAATTACAGACTTTCAGAGCTTTTCAGAAATGCCTAAGTGACTTACCAGAAATATCATCAATAGTGGAGCATAAGAACAGCCATACTGGGTCAGACAATGGTCCATCTAGCCAGTATCCTGTCTTCCGCCAGTAGCCGATGCCAGGTGCTTCAAAGGGAATGAACAGAACAGGCAGTCAGAGTGATCCATCCCCTGTCGTGCACTCACAGCTTCTTGGAAAGTCAAGGAGACTTGTGCTCCTGCAGCACTTGGTAAAACCCTACCCATAGTCCCTAAGCTGAAGAACCAACAGAGTAAGTCTGCAGATCTGTACTGAGCTCCATGTGGGTAGACTCCTCTTCATTTATTTGGGCTCTGTGAGCATCAGGACAGTGCTCATTGTGCAAAACCTCTTAGGTTCTGATCCTACAAAGGACTGCCTTGGAAATCTGTGTGTTAAATGAGTTTTTTATCTCAAACAGGCACCCTGCTCCCTGTAACAAGCCCCTAACACAAAGCTCATTGATGTCTTGCAGAAGCCAAAGCATTTCATTCATAAACCACATGTATACTTGGTACATCTGGTTAGCTGAAGATACTTGAAAGATGCATTTATAAAATACAAAAGTGAAGTAGTGCATGATAAGGTAGGGTGGATTTCCTGAATCGTACTGAAAGCAACTCCAAGATTGATATCAAGATTAACATTTTGTATATTCTCCATTAGGCTCTGAAAAGATGCAGTGAAGGCAGACTCTTTTGGTTTAGTACTTTACTGTATTTATTCTCAACGGGTGTTACTCCCTCTTCTTCTGTGTTGGCTAAAGTGTGTATTTGCTGTTTTTCTGTATTTGGATGTCTGTTATGACTGTGTGCTGTCTACACGTGCATCAAATAAAAGTTGATTTATAACACATTCTCCTGGGGGATATATTAAGTGCACATTATGTAGCTGGGGGATTGTCTAACTTAAGAATACATCTGTAGTGATTAGGTAACAAAAATAACGAAACCACACATTATAGGTTTCAGCATAGCAGCCGTGTTAGTCTGTATCCGCAAAAAGAAAAGGAGTACTTGTGGCACCTTAGAGACTAACCAATTTATTTGAGCATAAGCTTTCGTGAGCTACAGCTCACTTCATCGGCTGCATGTCATTATAGCCCTGATAACACATTATAGCTAACTCAGCTCATTAGAAATCTTCCCTACTATATACGGACAGTAATGGCCCAATTTTTAGAGAAACTGAGCACCCATTGTTCCAGTTAAAGTCAAAGTGAGCTACCAGCTGCTTAGCACCTTGTCTCTCTGACCAAGGGAAGTTAGTCCAATAAAAAAATATGTCTCTCTAATATCCTGGGACCGACACTGCTACAACACTACTGCATACTTCAACGGTTAGACCCTCCCCAGGACTCATAAGATTGGGCATACTGGGTCAGACCAAAGGTCCATCCAGCTCAGTATCCTCTCTACTGACAGTGGCCAATGCCAGGTGCCCCAGAGGGAGTGAACCTAACAGGTAATGATCAAGTGATCTCTCTCCTGTCATCCATCTCCACCCTCTGACAAACAGAGGCTAGGGACATCATTCCTTACTCATCCTGGCGATAGCCATTAATGGACTTAACCTCCATGAATTTATCCAGTTCTCAACAGTAAACCCTGTTATAGGCCTAGCCTTCATAACCTCTTCAGGCAAAGAGTTCCACAGGTTGACTCTGCACTGAGTGAAGAAAAACTTCCTTTTATTTGTTTTAAACCTGCTACCCATTAATTTCATTTGGTGGCCTCTAGTTCTTCTATTATGGGAACAAGTAAATAACTTTTCCTTATTCACTTTCTCCACACCACTCATGATTTTAAATACCTCTATCATATCCCCCCTTAGTCTCCTCTTTTCCAAGCTGAAAAGTCCTAGCCTCGTTAATCACTCCTCATATGGGACCCGTTCCAAACCCCTAATCATTTTAGTTGCCCTTTTCTAAACCTTTTCTAAATGCCAGTATATCTTTTGAGATGAGGGGACCACATCTGTACGCAGTATTCAAGATGTGGGCACACCATGGATTTATATAAGGGCAAGAAGATATTCTCCGTCTTATTCGCTGTTCCTTTTTTAATGATTCCTAAAATCCCATTTGCTTTTTTGACTGCCGCTGCACACTGGGTAGTCGTCTTCAGAGAACTATCCATGATGACTCCAAGATCTTTTTCCTGATTAATTGTAGCTAAATTAGCCCCCATCATATTGTATGTATAGTTGGGGTTATTTTTTCTCATATGCATTACTTTACATTTAGCCACATTAAATTTCATTTGCCATTTTGTTGCCCAGTCACTTCATTTTGTGAGATCTTTTTGAAGTTCTTCACAGTCTGTTTTGGTCTTCACTATCTTGAGCAGTTTCGTATCATCTGCAAACTTTGCCACCTCGCTCATTCACAGCAGTGCAGATGGGACACATCACAAAGTACATAGATGTAGGATCAGGGTCACAGATTTGGTTTGGATGAAAAGGTATTTCAAACCTGAATTTAAAAAACCCCTACAATTAAGCAGCTTTCTTCAGGACCTTGTGCAATAGTGGTGCTGTCAGTGGTGATGCATTTTCTTTCCTGTGATGCATAATTCAGCATTGATTTCTAGCTAATGGGGGAGGAAGGGAGGGGAAAAAGAAATCACAGACAGACAGTGATAAATTGCAAGGTTTTTTAAGGGGAAAGGCAAACAAAGAAAGAACACATTTAAGTATTCTTCATTATTCCCAGATACAAATGTAAGATTATGATTAGGCATTAATTTATATCACCATTCATGTCAAAGTGCTTCATAAATGACATTCAGATAGGAAACCTTTTGCCATTGAAATGCAGCCAGCTCTAGGATAGAAGGCAGCTGCCAAGCAAACAGCATGCTGCCAGGTCACCTGGGCAAACCCCATCCTATAATGAACGTTGGCATGTGATCTTCGTCCACATGGACCATGGCCCTTGATTATTGCGGGTCAAAGATCCCATGCTCTGTTTATAGCCTGGAATGCAGCTTATTTACTTTGGAGACAGAGAGGCTGAGTCACCCCTGCTAGGATAGGAACCTGTGGTTCTAGATATCTCAGAGAGGGCTATTATGCCATGCAGCTCCAGCAGCCATTGTGGTTACTAGAGTAGAGGTGCCAAGTTTTGCTTTGTTGGCCCCCTCATACATGCCATGCTTAAGACGTTCACTTATAAACGCAGTGACATAATACCTGTAGTCATGTATTATAAACTGCTTTATTTTTGCACACGTAATTGTTTCTCCATGTTTTATAAAGTCTAAGATATGTGGACCCCTAAAAGCATACCCTCAGGAAGAGCACATGTAACCCACACACTGTCTGGGTGTGGTGTGCTGTCCCATCTAGTGGCATCAAGACCACTTAGAGAAAGATTAATGAGTCTGCTTTATAGCCTTAGCTAAAAGGCCTCTGGCTTTTAGCTCATGCAGTAGAGACTCATGCATTTAGCTCCAGAAGTCCCAGGTCCGATCCCGCCTGCCGACGACTGGTGTCTGTTGGTGTTACACACACACACACACACACAGACGGCAAACGAACAGCCTATCATTTGTTTTGGGATAGCACCTAGATGCCCCAGCTCAGACAGAGACCTCTTGTGTTAGAAACACATAGTGAGAGACCATCCTTGGGCCAAAGAGCTTCTGATCAAAATAGGCTACAGGGTGCAAGAGAAAACAGAGGCACGGAGAGTGACTTGGCCCAGGGTGCACAGCTGGTCAGAGATGTAGCCTGACTCATACCTGAATGAGTCTGAGGAGGAAAATCCTTAGCCCCAAGTCTACAGTAAGCAACCTAGGACTGCTGTGGCTGCTTCTGCAGGGTATAGAGAGGTGACTGTAGACCTCATCCCCAACATGCATGTGTTGGCTAGGGAACATGGCCAGCTCCTGGATTCAGACACCAAGAACTGGTCCACCGCCCATTTGTGAAGCATCCTTGTACTTCCACTGCCTTCTTGATGTTTCTTCAGCCTTAGTATAGATCCTGAAAGAGATCCAGTGGATATAGCCAATACCCCAAATGAAGATAGGGAGCCCACTGGAGAGCGATTGTCCTACATATGCATGGAAACATGGCATTCAAGAGATCAAGAGACTTGTTCCCCACAGCATGTAGTATGCCAGGGATATCATAGGGGAGCAGCAATAAGCAGCATAAACTGGCTTGGCCATCTTGCATACAAAACTAATTCCAGATGCTTGAATTTTGGATGATCCAATATAATATGAAAAAAATGAAAAAGCAGCAGTATTTTGACAACAGCGACTAGCTAGGGGGCATCACAGCTGCTTTGCTGTCTATGATGTCTCTTGTCAGACTTCACGCCCAATGCAGGCTGAACAAACTGGCCTGCACTCTATATTGATTTCCTGTTAGAAAGCATGTCTCACATTTTGGACAACAGTAGGGGAGGAGAGAGGAGGTCCAGGTCTGAACTCTCCAAAAAAATCTCTGGTGCTTCAGTTTCCATGTCATCTGCGGTTCTTCGCAATACTGCCAGCTTGACATCTCCGGTAACATCACGCGAGGGAAATTAGCTCTGTATGTCTGTTACCAACTTCCATCTGTGTGTCAGCGTACGCTGGAATTTGTGCACAAGGTTGTGAAGCAACATTGATACAAAGAGACTGTGATGCAGTCAGAGAAATGCGAAAGATAATTCCCCAAAGAAGTGCTTATTAAAATACCACTGAACGTCGCTCAGATACAGCTCCAACTGCACCACAATTAGTTCCTGCTGTGCTATAGCGGAAGCTTATTATCGTGAGATGGATCCTAGCATATGTCCTCTTCCAGTATACAACATTTGCCCTGATTCGGGGGAAATTCATCTGGGCATTCAGGGTGGGATTTTTCCAAATCAACTAAGTGAGTAGGGTGCACAAGAGCCATTGAAAGTGAATGGATTTGTGCTCACGTCACTTAGGCATTTGAAAATCCCCCTCACAGTCACTCGAGTCACCGCGAAAATGGGCTTAGTTTTGCCCCTTTTTGCTGTTTGGCCAAATCACAGAGCCAACTCCATACTCCAAGGATTTGCAAGTGTGACAGAGGTCAGGACTGAAGAGTATTGGCAGAGAAGGGGTGGAGGAAGCTTGCACGGCCTCTGCCTTCACTTTACTTAAGCTTCTGCCATCGGCACCTCACTTTTATGAGAAACATATTTGTCCTTACATTACAAAAGTACGGGGCCAAGTCCAGCCCTAAAACGACTGGCATTTAACTAAGGATGAGTCTGTCCCGTCGTGCTCACAGAACATACCCAGATGGCTTTTTCAAGCTGAAGCTGGCAGTGCGGGAAGCACAACAAGATGGTATGGAATCATTATTCATGCATGACAGAGGAGAACAGTTTAAAGCAAGCTGCTCTGAATGTGAGGAGAGTCTGTCTTCATTGTGAGCATTTTATATAGGCTTTGGCCTGAATTAGAACGTAGACTGGGACTGCAAGCCCAGAAATGTTTGGAGACTTGCATGTTATTGGAACTGTGTAATTAAAAAATAGAACTAAGAACCCACCTTAAAGTGTTGTGCATTCCAAAAAAGTTACAATGGGTTGGTAGGTTGGCAAATACAAAATGTAGGTCCCAGTCTCCTTTCATTGACAGCTTTATACCACTGCAGACAAGCGAGCCCAACTGAGTTACTCCTAATTTATTCCTGTGTGAATGGGAGGAGGATTAGGCTCATATACTCCAGTTTGTTAAAGAATAAACCAATTGTCTACGGAAGACAAGTGTTATCAATCCAGGAGGACAAAGCTGCACTAGCAGCCTCATATGGAAGCTAGTGAAAGGGAATTGTGCAACCATAGCATTACTTGGTTAGGAAAGCAGATCGGAAGACA